AAAATAATTACATCTAATTTAGTGAAATTATATCTAATTTAGTTAAATTTGATATAACAAATGATTCAACATTTTTTGGGTTCAGTTGCAGTAAAATAGGTTGAATTATTTTAGCTTTTTTAATATATGTAAATAATTGTGTAAAAAAAACGAGAATAATGAAATAGGCATATGACAACAGCGGATACTATACCCTAGTGTGTCCCTTAGAATATGTCTTATTCACGACAGCACGATATTTGTAAGTAACTACATCTCCTGTTATCTCTGGACACAAGCTAGCTTCATGTTCTTCACTACAGATGTGGCACACGATTTTGCATTCTTACAGTTTTCTTTTTTATGGTAGAAACCTTGATATTTAAAACATCTGGGTATCTCCAAATCTTCATAAACCGGAAGTCTTTCCCATCCTATACATAATTTTTTCCTTTGTATCAATTGTTTGAATGCAGTTCCTGAACATTCACAGTATACAGTATTGAAGCCTTTTTTCGTTTTTCTGATATATGCGGTTTTTATATCCGCTGTTATGTCATTCTGTTTCACAATGGACTTGTCAATTTCTTCCTTGGTCATATTCTCCGTAAAATTGCAGATTTTCATTCTGGGTCTTCTCATTTTTGTCAGATTTACATCATATGAATCTTTTGATTTATCTTGAACAGTTTTTTCCAGAATTTCAGATTCTTTTTTTGTTTGACAGGAAAGTATAACGGAACCATTATTTCCCATCTTTAATTGTTTCACTCCAACTTTTAAGTCAGTTAGGTTAATATTTGTTCCTAAATTTGTTTATGTTTTGTTTCCACTCTGTGGTATTTTCGGTTTAATAATTTTTGGAAGCTTAGGTTTTCGTTCACTGTCTTCTTTTTGTAACTTCACCATATCAGCATAAGAAATGGTAGGCACAATATTTATCTCTTTTTCTTCAAATTCTTTAATTTTCTCTTGAAGCATTTTTATTATTTCATTTTTACTATATTTTTGCTTGCTACATTTTTCAAATTGTTACTTTAGGTTAATGTGTTATAATTTTTACTTATGTGTATTACTGAATTCTAGTTCATTGTGTAATCTTAGTTTAGTTAGGGGGCGTCCATTAATTACGTGAGGTGTTCAAGGGGGGGAGGGGATAAAACTAAATCTTTCTAAATCTCACTTGGGGGGGAGGGGGGTTTTCGTAAATCTCACGTAATTTTTTTTCTAGTAGAAAACGGTGTAAAATTGCGTGAAAGTAAAGTTAAATTAGAGTAAAAGTATTTCTAGAATAAAATATGGAAAATTCTTATAATTATGTTTATTTATTTTTTATTAATTTCCATTTAAGTATTTATCATTTAATTTTATTAATGTGATTTTAAATAATTGCAACACTCTCAAACACTAGTCTTTGCTAGTCTTAAATAAAAGTAATGGAACATATTGTGTTTTTGTTTTTTTTTTTTAATAATCCAATACATTTACACTCAAAACACGAATTTTGAAAAATCTCACGCGAGATTAGGGAAGGGGGGGAGGGAGTTAAGGAAAATCTTACCAAATCTCGCCAGGGGGGGGAGGGGGAGTCAAAAAATCCTCAAAAAAACCTCACGTAATTAATGGACGCCCCCTTATTGGTATTATTGTCAACATATAGTACTTTATCCTGTAATAGCTATCCAATGTTAATATCCATTTTTTCCTGTTTCGCATACAGTCACAGGTTTTTTTCATGGGCATTGACACCTGGATTACAAATAATACTATATATTTACAGTCTTTATAATCAATATTTCTCTTAATATTGCTTTTCCCACCTGTTAAATGGTTATTACTGTTGGGTGGTGTGTTAAATAAATAATATTAACATTCCACTAAACCCCCATTAGGCGGCGATAAATTACATTGCCAAATGATGACGTAGCTGTGTTCTTCTAATTGTAATCAGACCCTACCTGGCTCTGTTTCGCTCTCTATATAATCCCTAACCTTACCTCCTACCTTTCTTTATAGAAATTTTAACAAAAGTACAAACGTGTTTATACTTGTACTGTATATAATTTAGTGTAGCATTGGCATGTTCTTTTGCTTTACTAACCTACATGCAAGACATGGGAATCAGTAGTGGATCAAGCGCTCATGAATGAGGATTCGTCGTAGAGAGGAGTAAAAAGATGCTTTAGACATCATGAATGATAGCAACATCCTTTATGGACCTGACATCGATGATTCAGTGTGAGATAGGCCGATAAAACTCGCTTATGAATTTTGATTTTTTTATTTCTGATGATCCAGCATCTAATTAAGAGGGGCACTGCAATTCTACTTTTTTGCGATACGCTTCCGAATAATTGCTGCCATTTTCGTATTTTTTAATATTTCTTCATGAAAATTTGACACAATTTCTATTTCAGGAGATAAAAAAATGCCACAGAGTAACACATTCAAACAATATAACTTTTGTAAAGCAAATTATCAATCTATTAATAATGCCTTGTTGGCAATAAATTGGGATATAAAATTTAACAATTTAAATACCAGTCAATGTACAAATATATTCTATTCTCTATTAAATGATCTAATTGAAGAACATGTCCCGAAAAATTCAAAATCTTATAAAAAATTTCCATCATGGTATACTCTTGAAACAATTAAAGTCCTAAAGGAAAAGAAAAAATATCATTCTTTATGGAAAAGGTATGAAAATAAATTAGATTTTCTAACTTTCAAATTATTGCGAGGGCGATCCAAATACCTCATTTCTCAAGATTATGCAAAATACATTAAAGCTTGTGAGAGTAGCATTTCAGAAAACCCTAAAATGTTATGGCAGTTTATAAAATCAAAAAGGAAAAATCCTGATACTATTTCATTTCTTAAAAATAACAATAATTTAGTCACCGATATCAAAGATGTCTGCAATATTTTTGCAAACTACTTTTTATCATCTTTTAACTCTACTAATTCAAAAATTTCCTTACATGAATTTGACAAAACACATCACGGGCATCATATAAAGAACTATCACATTGACGAACATAGAATCATAGAAAAAATCAAAAACTTACCTAATAAAACAGCAGGACCTGATAATATTCATACTAATTTGATAAAAAATTGCGTTGTTGGTTTATCCCGGCCATTATTTTTAATTTTTAATAAATCTCTATGTGAGGGGCATTTTCCTGAGATATGGAAAACTGCTCATGTTATCCCTATACACAAATCTGGTGACAAACACTTAGTAGAAAATTTTAGGCCAATATCTAAATTATGTATTATTGCAAAATTATTTGAATCTTTAATTTTTGATTTTCTTTTCTTTGACGTTATTAATATACTCAACGATGAACAGCATGGTTTTATAAAACAACGGTCTGTAGACACGAATCTCTTCATATATTCTGAATACATTTTGAGTAATCTAAACAACAGACTTCAGGTGGATTCTATCTACACTGATTTCAGCAAAGCTTTCGATAAACTTGATCACGGTATCTTATTAAAAAAATTATCTGAAGTTGGTGTAGATAGAAACCTTCTGAAATGGTTTCTATCTTACCTCAGTGACCGTTGCCAAGCTGTATCCGTCGGTAACTGTTTATCGTCTTATTCAAAAGTCTGTTCCGGAGTCCCGCAGGGCTCCCATCTTGGACCCCTCTTGTTTAATATTTATGTGAATGATATATCAACCTGCTTTAAATCTGCACGTTTTCTTATGTATGCTGACGATTTAAAAATTTACCACACCATAAATAATATCGCTGATTGTGTCTTAATACAAAATGACCTTGACCGACTCTATAAATACTGTCAAGATAATAGTTTATTTTTAAACCTGAATAAATGCTTCCAAATAAGCTTTAGTCGCAATATTAATCTGATAAAATTTCAGTATAACTTAAATAACTTAAATATTAACTCTGTATCTGATATTAAGGATTTAGGTATAATTTTTGACTCAAAAATGTTATTCAACCAACACATAGAATATGTCACAAATAAGGCAAATAAAATGCTGGGATTTATTATGCGTTCTTCTTTTGATTTTACAAATATAAACACTCTTCGTTCACTTTATATGGCATACGTTAATAGCGTATTAAGCTATGGTTCGGTTATTTGGAATCCGCAATATAATGTCTACATTAACTGTTTGGAAAATATACAATATAAATTTATAAAATTTGTTCATAAAAAAACCCTTTCACAATATACAGAAGACTTAACATTTACGCAACATAAAATGAACCTAATTCCACTTTATAACAGAAGGAAAATTACAGACATTACTTTTACATATAAAGTTTGTAACAATTTAGTAAATTCAATTCCCATTAATAGCATGATTAATTATAACGTTTCTTTTTATAATACCCGAAGCAATAATTTGTTTTACTCAGATACAAGTAATACTAATTACTTTAAAAATTCTCCTTTACATAGGTGTATTAAAACTCTCGACACAATAATGAACGTACTAGAAGTTGATATTTTTTCTATTTCCGAAAGTGCATTCAAAAATTGCTTAAAAAAACACTTTTTGTCTAGTGTACCTTAAAATCTTAAATTACGACATATTTTTTAATGTAAAATTTTTGAATTTCTGTTATAATGCAATAACTTTAGTATTTTTTCTGTTCTCTTATTTCTTATTTCACATTTATTTCGTATCTAGTGTAATAATATTTTGTTATTAATTAGGTTAAAGTTGTTTAGTTTAAACCCATTATGTAAGAAGCATTGGGAACACTTTTTTGGGTATGTCCTGTTTGTGTTCCAAACAAAATAAATAAATAAAATAAATAAAAAAAAAAAAAAAAAAAAAAAAAAAAAAAAAAATGTTATACTTTAATGTAACATTAGTTTAATTAAACAGATTTTAACTGTGTCATCAAAAAAAATTCACAAAAATTTGCCTTTTGCACGAATTAACCTTACCTTCCCCCTTGATAATTTTTGGATAAAAAAAATATAAAAAGCGCACCCTGTATATTAAAGTAAATTTCAGTTCTTACTTTCGATCCCTCTTGTAACTCATCTTCTCGACATTGGCTAACAATAATTGCATTTGTGCCATTCTAACATCGTCTCGTTTTGGATTATAAAGGAGATGCGTGGTGGCGACAACGAATTCTTTGGTAGGATGTGACTTTGGTGCAAACTTCATGACAATCCCTACGTTATCTCTATCTAATACGCGCATTCCAGACTGGAAATACTCGACCACGTCGTTTTCGATCAAAGCGATGTTATCCGCTTTGTAATAAATGGCGCATCCGTCCGGTTGGCAGCCAGTTCGTTTCTTAAAAACGCTTTGATAACCTACGATTAAAAATTTTATAAATTGTTATATAATATACAATTTTAAAAAAACCGACTACAAAAAAGAATTTGTTTGATAGTTTTTTCATTTGTCATCAGATTTTGACCTAATTTAAATTAGAGCACCCCCGAGGTACCCTCTTTCTAACAAAAAAGAATCATAAATCGGACACCGTGGCAAAGAATTATCACTGAACATACATAAAAAAATATATTCTAATATTCTCCTTCTTTTTTGAAGTCTGTTAAAAACTAAAACAAGTATTTACCCATTTCTTCTAGTAACGAATAGTCGGAGAGATGCGATTTTTGAACTTCTTGAAGGCACAGGATCTAAAAAGTACACTTAGATATTATTCAATTAACAACAATAAGTCTTTAATTTATTGAAGGAACCCCACAAAAAAATAATGATTATAATGCATATTTAATATCATTTGTTCCAGAATTAATGTCAAAAGCTAACTATATACTGTTAGCAATTTTACCTAGAGTCGCCTCTGGTCAGGGAGATAAGCACGTGTTGATGTCGATGCGTAAATACCCCGGTCCTTTTCGTCGGCATCATGTTGGTGTTTCACAGGGGCATTCTGAAAAGTACAATCAACGTGGTCGATCTCTCTGCGTAGACTTACTGGCCACTCGCTACGTCATTACATGTGTTTTTGTATTCAATATTCATACGATTATAGTGGTGTTTACTAATATTTGGATTTTTAATTGTAATTAATATTTATACCCCCTTCGTTTTCTAACATCAGAAGTGCGATAGGACTCATGACTCACGCTGTTGTTGATGCATTGTTATTAATTAATTACCGTTAATGACTTTTTGGTGAACAGTTATTTGAAATAATTATTGTGCTATTTCTTGAGTGTAGAACAATAGAACAAGAAAAATGGATTCTAAAAATAGTGAAAGTGGTACTCAGATATTGTTATCAGAGTTAGTTACTGCGTTACAGGCATCAACTGAGCAGGTAAATTTGTCATATTTTCGACCTGAGTTAAGTGAATCCAACAAATGGGTGAGTGGTATTGAAATTATAAAGTATAAGATGATATGACGTGAAAATATTAGGCAGAGTTGGTTGATTTTTACTGAACGAATATTTGATATGACCAGTGGAACCAAATATTAAAAATTGATTACTTTTAAGACGGAGTTTACTGAGCCATTTCCACCGAAACGTAACGTTCATGAAAAATTTGCGATGATAAGTTTACGAGCTAATTGGAATAAAAGTGACGTAGTATAATTAATTATTCACAGTATTTCTAAATTAGATAATAATGGCAATGAAATTGTCGGACAATTAAAGAATTTTTACTATTTTTGTTATCTTTTGCTAAATGGAATTTAAAAAGCAGATGTTAAGTCACCTAATCTGAGAAAACACTTGTATGTTGATAAATATTCTGCCATTAATAGCCGTTTGTCAAAGAAATGTGAAGAGTCCAAGACCCGACGCCGATGCTTCATACAGTAAACAAAATCTGAAAACGAGAATGATGATGGTTGCTCTATTTGCGCTAAATGTGGACATACGATTTTAAATTGTTTTACAAAAGCTGCTATTGACAAAATACGATTTTAAATTGTTTTACAAAAGTTGCTATTGACAAACGCCGAAACATTAATTTTTGTCTAGCTGATAAACTTGCAAATACAACAGAAATTTGGAATTGAAGGGCATCTAATTTAGGCTCTTGTAGAGATATTTATCGTTAATGTTGAAAAAATGTTTAGATTGATTTAAAAATGAAGTATTTATTTGTAAAATTCTGCTAAAGAGTATTACAAAAAAATGTCATGATAAGTGCAAAAATAAATGTACAGGGTGTACAAAAATTTATGACGTTGATATTTCTGTCATTTACATATTTGTTTGTGAGAGTATTCTGGATTATGATGTAATTATTGGTCGTGATTTATTTGAAGACCAAGCTCTAATGACAATAACAGATCTTCAAGGTTCTCGTATTGAACGACGTAAATTACATGGAATTAAGCGAATTTTTGAAAGTTTTCACATATAATTAGGTGAAGTTAAAGTTCCGTCCCAGAGTCCTACGAGGTATTGGAGAAAGTTTTTTAAGATTTCGGAAGCATATAACAAGTGATAATAAAATAAGAGCGGTTAATAATCTTAGTTAAAGAAAATAAAATTGGAAAAAGGCATTGTTCTGAATCATGCTCCACCGAGTTACTCCAAGTGAAACCAGAAGCTGTACTAGGAGGGACATTACAAAAAATTTGGTGGCTAACCTGAGTATTCGTCTAAGTAGCCCTGTGGTTTTCGTAAAAAAAAAGTTGTGCATGCTGGTTCAGTGTTCACTTTAGAGAACTATCAAAAACTGTTAAGATTGGAAAAGTAAATAAAATCAGAATGGCCGAACGGTCCATGGAAGATTCAGCTTGTTTTAAAAAAAAATTAAACATACGTTACAGTTACTTTTGGGAATTCAAAGTTAAACATACGTTACAGTTACTTTTGGGAATTGAAAGTTCATATCCCCGATATGTTTTAATGTTTATAATACTAATTTATCGGTCTCAGTCCCGTCAGTGGTTGAGCCGGATGTGTTGACTGCGGTCTCACATGTTTTTTTATTTTTATTGCTTATATTTATCGGTCTCAGTCCCGTCAGTGGTTGAGCCGGATGTGGTGACTGCGGTCTCACATGTTTTTTTAATTTTTATTACTTATATTTATCGGTCTCAGTCCCGTCAGTGGTTGAGCCGGATGTGGTGACTGCGGTCTCACATGTTTTTTTATTTTTATTTCTTATATTTATCGGTCTCAGTTCCGTCAGTGGTTGAGCCGGATGTGGTGATTGCGATCTCACATGTTTTTCTATTTTTATTGCTTATATTTATCGGTCTCAGTCCCGTCAGTGGTTGAGCCGGATGTGGTGACTTCGGTCTCACATATTTTTTTAATTTTTATTGCTTATATTTATCGGTCTCAGTCCCATCAGTGGTTGAGCCGGATGTGGTGACTGCGGTCTCGCATGTTTTTTTTATTTTTATTTCTTATATTTATCGGTCTCAGTCCCGTCAGTGGTTGAGCCGGATGTGGTGATTGCGATCTCACATGTTTTTTTTATATTATTATTGCTTATATTTATCGGTCTCAGTCCCGTCAGTGGTTGAGCCGGGTGGTGGCTGTGGTCTCCACATAAAAATTTATTTTTCAGAAGATGTCCAATTGACACAGTAGTGCCGAGATCGTCACTACCGTCAGAATTGGCCGTGTTAGCAATTTTACCTAGAGTCGCCTCTGGTCAGGGAGATAAGCACGTGTTGATGACGATGCGTAAATACCCCGGTCCTTTTCGTCGGCATCATGTTGGTGTTTCACAGGGGCATTCTGAAAAGTACAATCAACGTGGTCGATCTCTCTGCGTAGACTTACTGGCCACTCGCTACGTCATTACATGTGTTTTTGTATTCAATATTCATACGATTATAGTGGTGTTTACTAATATTTGGATTTTTAATTGTAATTAATATTTATACCCCCTTCGTTTTCTAACAATACCATTTAATTGTAACATTTCTTATAATTTAGAGTCCATGTATTTCTCTAGACTCTCCCTAAATAACGTTGTAGAGTTAGGAAGAAAAATCAAAAATAAATACACGTCTGGTGAAGAAGAAATTCCAGCATGTGTAATTAAAAAAACTATAAATGTTATTAGTAAGGTTTTAACATATCTTATCAATAACTCAATCAAGGTTGGAATATTTCCCACTCAATTAAAATTAGCTGTAATTAAACCAGTATATAAAAAAGTAATTCTGTTATTAGAAAATTATCGACCGATAAGAAGTAATTTGCCTAGTTTCTCTAAGTTATTTAAAATATAAAGAGCATTTTAATTTTTTTCCAAAAATCTAAACTTTTTAGTGATAACAATACAATATCTTTATTTACCTGAGAAAATATTACATTTTATGGCTCGTCAAATAAAATCTTGACTGTTTATGTTTTCGAATGCTTAATGTATTTTAATAAAAACAAAGACGCCTTTGATAATAGTACAATTTCGCAATAAATATAACACTAGGAAAATCACCTAAATTTTCCATATCATAAATTAAAAATCACTGAAATATCTCCAAACCACCTTTAAGAATAAAAAATTGTTTCTTAAATAATAAATTTAAAAAAGAAATTAAAAAACTATACTGGGACAAAATATTGGAGAAGGTGAGTCATATGCATGATCAACACTGTTGTCTATGAATGAAAATTCCGACAGAGTCAGCATAGGCGGCGTATCAAATACCAAATAATTATTTATTTTTTATTAAGTATTTGTTAGTAAACTTTATTAAATTTGTCAACATCTTTATTTAAACAAAGATGATGCGTTAAATATACGTTTTTGATAGTTTTCAAGAAATGAATATATTTATTCCCTAATGACTTCGTTATCTGTGTTTAATGGTTTTAAAATGTGTTTCAAGTAAATAAACAACAGACGGGTTACAGATTTAATATTGTCAGCACAGGCACAAAGACAGTTGAAAACTAACTTTAGATTTGTATCGCTTTAACTTTTTACGATAATTATTTTATATTTTATGAATACTTTTTTGTATAAGTGCTCTTTTCTGATATCGTCGTATTGGTGGTGAAAAGAGCTAAGCCACACACTTAATAATTGGATAAAATGGGTAAATAAGTTTGTAATTCTCAGGTTAAAACAACTTTTGATTTAAATCTTCAGTTTTTATTCACTAAATATGATAACATTTGGTACAAAGGAAAAGACGTCCTTTATTTTAAGACTGATTTAAAAACGTAAGAAAAGGAAAGGTATGTCGCTTAAAAATACTTTACCACTGAAAGAGATATATGTATTTTCACCTAGCTTCTTTCATTTGTGGGATTTTAAGGTTATAATTACATAATCGCTTATCTCTCTTCACCACTGTATTTTTTAGAATTGTTTTATTTATGTGATATTGTCACGCTAAACAAATATCACCCTATATATAAAATATATATTTTCTATTTTAATATTCAGTTGTTAAATTAAATAATTCAGCATAATATTTTATACAATATTTTAATAAACATTAGATTCAATTAGTAAATACATTCTCGATAAATGTAAATATAATATTAAACTAGACACGTTTTGACCTTAACCGATTAATATAAAGATCGGCCGGGTCAACAATAATGGTACTCTGAGTCTCATCATTGTCTCTCATTCCAACGAAGAAGTGACGTGACGTGCTCTCGTCGCCATTTAGATGTTTAGCCCATGGTAAGGCCCATATTGTATTATTAATATTATTATTGTATATTGATTACTATTACTGATAAATAAATTGTTAATTGTTCTCGTGATCTTTTATTTCTCCAAGTCAGGTAGCACATAGAGTCATTATTTAAAGTGACTCAATCACGACAAATAGGCTCGTGACAATATAATTAACTCGTTTTTCCTAAAAATGTGACTTAGCTATTTTCACCACCAATACGACGAGTTATATTTATTGTGTAGTATATTAGGTAGGTACTTTAAAAGTTTATTAAATAGTAAAATATTGGTGTCTTTATAAATTTAATAAAAACAATTTAATAGTAGAATTATATTGTTACAATAGTAATGGATTCATACGCGGGTCCAAGTGAAACCCAATTATTTCGGCGAAAGCCCTTATCAAAGGATAAAAAGAACATTATATGGAAAGTGTATGATGGGCTAAAACAGACACTTCCTACAAATGAAGCTGTAAACCGCAGTTCTTTTTTAACTGGAGTATCTGTTTCAACATCAAAAGACAAAAAAAGGCTCCTTAGAAGCCCCTAAAACGCATACCCGTAGTCGGAAATTATTGAAATTGGACGATAACTAAAAATAAATCATTCTTTTTTTTTTTCGAAAACAAAGCCCCAACACTTAAAGTTGTTCTTACGAAATTAAGAGAAAACGAGGAAATTCCATTAATGAGCCGTGAAACTTTACGAAAAATTTTATGGGGCCTAAAATTTCGTTTTGTCAAACGGTGTAGGAAATCAATTTTAATTGAGAGGTCAGATATAGTGTCTTGGCGACGGCGTTATTTGAGTTTAGAGCCGCTAAAAAAAACATATACTATCTCGATGAAACGTGGGAGAATGCTGGACACACGTTATCTAAGATATGGCAAAATACTTCTGTAACTAGTCATCACCAAGCTTTTATAGAGGGATTATGTACAGATTTGAAAGCACCATCAGGTAAAGAACAGCGCCTAATTGTTACCCATATCGTAAAGTGACACTGGATTTTTGGAAAATAGCGCTCTTGTGTTTATATCGAAAAAAACAGAAGACTACCACGAGGACATGAATGCGGAATGCTCTGAAAAATGGTTTACTGAAGTATTACAGCATGTAGAACGAAATTCAGTTATTGTACTAGATAACGCTTCTTATCACAGTAGACGAGTTGAACGCATTCCGATAATGTCCAGTAGGAAAGCGGATATGCAAACCTGGCTGCGGGATAAAGCAATAACATTTACTGAGGAGATGCTTAAAGTGGAATTAATGGACCTAATAAAGGAACACCGCCATAAATATATTCAATATGTTGTCGACACAATGGCTCGTGATCGTGGTATTACGGTATTAAGACTTCCCCCTTATCACTGCGAATTCAATCCTATTAAACTAATTTGGGCGCAAGTGAAAGGGTTTGTAGCTCGAGAAAATAACTTTTTAAAATAGCCGACGTTCAAAGTTTAATAAAAACCGGTATAGAACGTATAAAACCTGAAGATTGGCAGAATGCTATTTCCCATGTAATTAAGGAAGAAAATAATATGTGGCGCTTGGACGGTATGATCGAAACGGTAGTTGAACCTTTAGTCATAACTTTAAGTTCCGACGATAAAGACGATTCCAGTGATAGTTCTGTAGAATCAATGGATTACGAAACTTCATAGATGTAGAATTCAAGTAAGTGATACCAAGCTTAATTTACATATTTTTATAATAAACAAAATACAATTATAAACATAGATGAATTATAACAGAAATAGATAACCAACCTACTTTCATCTAGCAATATTCACAAATATCCATTTAATTTGCCAATATAGTATTTCTGCGACACTGGAAGAGTGCATTTTGATATGATAACGATACTTTTGCAGTTTTAAGGCGCACCTTCAATATTTTGTTCTAGTATAATACCCCATTTAATTTTCCAATAGTGTTTCTACGCCACTGGCATATTTATATATTTTAACAATAAACAAAACAAAAATTATAAACATAAATGATTATTACTAAAAAAATAGATAACCAACCTACTTTCATATATTATTTACTATTACCGCATTTAATTTGCCAATAGTTTTTATACGCCACTGGCGTAATTCATTTTGGTAATAAACATGCATTTATGACTAATTGGCACGTGATTCCGATAACTTCTGCAGTTTTAAGCGCGTGATTCCATTCATTACACTCTGGTATAGTATGATTGTTGTACGTGAAGAGGAAGGAATCGCCTTCTTCAATATTTTGTCTAAGTATTTCACTTTTGGTTTGACTGTAAGTCTTCTACCATTCTGATTTGTGCCAGTATTCCTGTAACCCCTTACGATTACAAGAAGTAAATTTTGAACACTGAGTAGAATTTCCGTTGAGGCAGACTGAGTTTGAAGTCTAGGGAGTCCAATCTCTAATGGAAGTATAATCATGAAATTAGAACCTACTGTATTAGTGAATATTTAGATTTTAATTTAAATTAAAAATTTATCTGTTTTGGACACCAATTCATTCTGTGCTGTCAGTTATAAATATTCATTTGTATCCGTCAACTTTTTTTTTAAATAAAGATGATTATTATTATTGACCACTAATTGCTGCTTTATACAAGAGTTGATCCATTTGCACCGATCCTGGCCCATTTATAAATCAATACAATTATATTTCAAAAATAATAATTCAAAAGTATTGTGAAATAATCTTAAAAACAATTTTAGGAATGTGTCGTTTCCCTCTTACATACATCTGGTTTCATTTTTGATATTTCTTTAAATAAATTCTTCCATCTGATTGGCCAAGCGAGTGACGCTTCGTCATGATTTCTGTACAGGTAAGGATGCTGTTCCAATAAATCTTGAGCCAGAACATTATAGGACATCAATGTAAATATAAATCCTGGTCGAGTTCCTGGATTTTCTGCCACTTTTTCCCAAGTCCTTAAAGACATAATTTGTTTACCTAAAAAAGAATTGTGTAGGTGAATATTATCTTCTACTATCAATGGGAGGTGTGTTAAGGGTTGTTTTGTCAGCATTTTGAAAAGTGTTGGGGTGAGAGAAGTACTGTTTAAAGGAAGTATAAAATATGTAAAAATCAACAGTTTTCAGTAATCTAAAAGGTATTAGGTGTATTGACCCGCAAGAATCAATTCTAGGCCCAACTCTGTTTTTGATATATTATGCCAATTCTGTGTCAAACCTGCTAGAAGGATACCTGTCTAGTACATTTTGGCAAGGAACAATGCCTTTTGAAAAATATATTGAATTAGACCTAATCTGATTATAAACTAAAAGTTCACTTATTTGGTTATATTCAGGGATGGCAGCAATGATCAGTTTCAATTGGAATGAATAACTCTTGCATTAAATACCTGAAACTATATATAAACATAGGAACGGCACACCAAGACATCCATTACTCCTTAATCCACAACTATCTCACATAACTAACACATTTCTGTTTCGTGAACTGTATATACTGATACCCATCATTCTAATAGTAAAATATAGCTTTACCTGAATTATTATTTTGAAATGACTTCTTTTGGTAGCCTCTTCCAGTATGGAAATTTGTTCTGGACGTGTACGGTTGATAATAATTATAATAATTGTAATATGTGTTTGGAAAAAATGGATAATGAAAATTACTATAATGTTGGTCACTTCTATAATAAATTGGAAAATAAAAATTCTCACAATAAGGATTCCAAAATTGAAGGTTTGTGTTATAGTTACTATTCACACCGTTCTCTAAATAATTCACTGTTTGGTTAACAGATTGTGTTGTATCTTCCTCGCTTCTTATTTGATTTGGTATTAAATTTGTATCTCTGACATTACTTACAATACCGTGGTTAGGAAAATACATCCTTTGAACTGGAATTAGTTGTGCTAATTTTTTTGACACTTCTAAACAATCAAATAAATGAAATTTTATAAATGTAAGCATCACATTATTAATCTTTTTAGCATAAAAACTGTTTATTACCATTTGTTGATACACAGGAAAGTTAAAATTAAAATTTAAAATTAGCTATGAACTATCATGATTTATATTAATAATTTTTATGGTAAATAACATTGAATAACATCACATGCGAACTATGTATGAACTATAACTATAATCGGTGTTATTGCAAGACAATTTTCTGATTGTGCCATTGGCTAAACAAACTAATAAATTGAGAAAAGGATTAAAATTAAAGGATTAAATTGTGCCTTTTGGCTTGACTGTTGATTTCACATTCACGTTGACTTTTTTTATCTCATTTGTGATCTGTGAACAGCTGTTCGTGTTCCATGTTCCACTCGTTGACACAAAACACTCGTTTTTGACTTTGACATAATATGCCAACATTGCGTTCGGTTTGCCACGTTCCTTTAACTCCTTTAACACTTTTAACTCCAAACGACTCTTTTAGCGTTCGGTTTAGTCCGATTAGTGACAGTTTAACCAATGAACTGGAGTGGGGTAGAAAGTTAATGTGCATATTTTATCAATTGAACAAGATGCGACTCTATGGGCGCAGCCATTTTTATTTCTCATCTCACTCGGGAGTATTTATAATAACCATTTTCTGTTTCACATTGTTATTGTTCAATCCACAGGCTGGTGGATCAGACAATAACAAAGTGAAATAGAAAATGGTCGTTATAAATACTCCCGAGTGAGATGAAAAATAACCTGTCTTCGCCCATAGAGTCGCATCTCAAGCCTATTGACAAGCATTCTACCCCACTCCAGTTCATTGAGTTTAACACGCTTAAATGTCATTTAAAAGCACCCTAAAATTTGTCCCGCTCCAGCCCCTGACTGACCGAACTCGCCTCAATTAGGCATTCAAACGACCTGTCCAAATGGCTACCAGTGGGTACTGACAGTTTAGATATGGCAACCCTGTTGTCATGTTGTCATTAACAGGGTCAATGATACATATATGTTATATACATTGCTCTAAGCTGGTCGTTTGCGAGCAGCCATATTGCCTGGCAAATATTTATTAATTTAAATCAGTTTAGCAAAAATGTGTTTTAAAACCAATTTTCAGACTTTAGATATTTAAAAAATAATAATTGCTTATATTTTTACTTCAAGGCATAAGCTTATGTTTATTTTAAAAAATAGGGATGATCAATCTATGTAACTATCTATTTCACTCACCTTGTTAAATCACCAGGGGCCCAATTCCTGACGCCTTCGTTAACTTATCGCATGCGATAACGTATGCGACTTGATGAAAGTGTATTCCTGAGCTGGCGGCATTCGTCAAATTTATTAACGCGTGCGCTAAGAAATGATGATTTTCAAAGAGCGCTCATGACCGTTCGACAACCACTTTATCGCATTCGTTTAGGTGAAAGTAAGGTTATAATTGTCAATTAATCCTGCTTTATCATACGTGATTCTGATTCATATTTCTATGTATTGGTTATGTTTTGTGATTTATTGGGAAATATTTATTTTTAATTTGACTTTTTTGAACATTTTATTAGTTACTATAGAATATAAAAATTAAACTTTTTGTACCGTGAACTCTTTTATTGGACGCTTAAGTGCCAGTTTATTTTGGTTTATTTTATTTAGTATGGATGATATAGAAGAAATAGGAGTTTTACAGGCACTAAACAATGTTATAAATTCTACTAAAGTTTCACGCTGTTTTTCCGTTATTCGTGAACCCCGCTGTTCCATTTTTAATATTCTAAATCTAAACCACTCCAATTCTCAAGTCCAAAATACAAATAATCACAGTTAAAACATCCAAAAACCAAAAATTATTAGACATCTGCAATCCATTTAATTTTATAATTTTTGCATTTTTGGCAATTTTGACATATGTCAATGCAATTATCTCATATTCAGTGATACCATCTTTGGTATTCTCAATCCTCATTGGTTAAGACTATGCAATAATCAAAGACTCTTCGTTAACACGTTCGACTTGATTCGCGATTATCGCATGGTGTTCAGGAATACTAAATTGCTGTCGTATGCGTTAACGACCATGCGTTACTTAGCGCATGCGGCAGTTAACGCATGTTTCGAGAATTGGGCCCCAGGGGCCCAATTCCTGACGCCTTCGTTAACTTATCGCATGCGATAACGTATGCGACTTGATGAAAGTGTATTCCTGAACTGGCGGCATTCGTTAAATTTATTAACGTATGCGCTAAGAAATGATGATTTTCAAAGAGCGCTCATGACCGTTCGACAACTACTTTGTCGCATTCGTTTAGGTGAAAGTAAGGTTATAATTGTCAATTAATCCTGCTTTATCATATGAGATTCGTGTTTCTATCTATTGGTTTTGTTTTGTGATTTATTATTGGGAAATATTTATTTTTAATTTGACTCTATTGAACATTTTATTAGAATATAAAAATGAAACTTTTTGTACCGTGAACTCTTTTATTGGACGTTTAGGTGCCACTTTATTTTGGTTTATTTTATTTAGTATGGATGATATAGAAGAAATATGAGTTTTACAGGCACTAAACAATGTTATAAATTCTACTAAAGTTTCACGCAATTTTTCCGTTATTCGTGAACCACGCTGTTCCATTTTTAATATTCTAAATCTAAACCACTCCAATTCTCAAGTCCAAAATACAAATAATCACAGTTAAAACGTCTAAAAACCAAAAATTATTAGACATCCAATCCATTTAATTTTATAATTTTTGGCAATTTTGACATGTGTCAATGCAATTATCTCATATTCAGTGATACCATCTTTGGTATTCTCAATCCTCATTGGTTAAGACTATGCAATAATCAAAGACTCTTCGTTAACACGTTCGACTTGATTCGCGATTATCGCATGGTGTTCAGGAATACTAAATTGCTGTCGTATGCGTTAACGACCATGCGTTACTTAGCGCATGCGGCAGTTAACGCATGTTTCGAGAATTGGGCCCCAGGCCTACAGAGTTGCCATAACTTTGCCACATCATAACCTGTCAAAACCCACTGGTAGTCATTCAGTTTGGAATGCCGACATTGCGTTCGGTCTGCCAAGTTCCTTTAACTCCTTTAACACTTTTAACTCCAAACGACCCTTTTAGCGTTAGGTTTAGTCCGATTAGTGACAGTTTAACACGCTTAAATGTCATTTAAAAGCATCCTAAAATTTGTCCCGCTCCAGCCCCTGACTGACCGAACTCGCCTCGAATAGAGGACTTCTATACAAGGGAAGTGCTACCAACTTGACAATTTTTTTTTGACACTAATGACATAAGAAATCGGGTCACATAAAGAGGCTGTTTTTTTGTTAAATTTTTAGTTTTTCTTATCTACTTTTATGCCGCTTAGGATCGATTCCACCGTTGTGTTAAACGAAGTTTAAAATGACATTTTTACATTAACAATGTCATTTTAATCTCCGTTTAACACAACGGTGGAATTGGTCCTAAGATACCATGTTGTACCCGTAACGTAAAAAAGACTTTTTATTTTAGGGTATGGTTGTTATAAATACTCCCGAGTGAGATGAAAAATAACCTGTCTTTGCCCATAGAGTCGCATCTCAAACCTATTGACAAGCATTCTACCCCACTCCAGTTCATTGCTCACTACTCACCAGGCAGAATAGGTCTGGGGCCCAATTCTCGAAACATGCGTTAACTGCCGCATGCGCTAAGTAACGCATGGTCGTTAACGCATACGACAGCAATTTAGTATTCCTGAACACCATGCGATAATCGCGAATCAAGTCGAACGTGTTAACGAAGAGTCTTTGATTATTGCATAGTCTTAACCAATGAGGATTGAGAATACCAAAGATGGTATCACTGAATATGAGATAATTGCATTGACACATGTCAAAATTGCCAAAAATTATAAAATTATAAAATTAAATGGATTGCAGATGTCTAATAATTTTTGGTTTTTGGATGTTTTAACTGTGATTATTTGTATTTTGGACTTGAGAATTGGAGTGGTTTAGATTTAGAATATTAAAAATGGAACAGCGGGGTTCACGAATAACGGAAAAACAGCGTGAAACTTTAGTAGAATTTATAACATTGTTTAGTGCCTGTAAAACTCCTATTTATTCTATATCATCCATACTAAATAAAATAAACCAAAATAAACTGGCACTTAAGCGTCCAATAAAAGAGTTCACGGTACAAAAAGTTTAATTTTTATATTCTATAGTAACTAATAAAATGTTCAAAAAAGTCAAATTAAAAATAAATATTTCCCAATAAATCACAAAACATAACCAAAACCAATACATAGAAATATGAATCAGAATCACGTATGATAAAGCAGGATTAATTGACAATTATAACCTTACTTTCACCTAAACGAATGCGATAAAGTGGTTGTCGAACGGTAATGAGCGCTCTTTGAAAATCATCATTTCTTAGCGCACGCGTTAATAAATTTGACGAATGCCGCCGTTCAGGAATACACTTTTATCAAGTCGCATACGTTATCGCATGCGATAACGTATGCGACTTGATGAAAGTGTATTCCTGGGGCCCAATTCCTGACGCCTTCGTTAACTTATCGCATGCGATAACGTATGCGACTTGATGAAAGTGTATTCCTGAACTGGCGGCATTCGTCAAATTTATTAAAGTATGCGCTAAGAAATGATGATTTTCAAAAAGCGCTCATGACCGTTCGACAACTACTTTGTCGCATTCGTTTAGGTGAAAGTAAGGTTATAATTGTCAATTAATCCTGCTTTATCATATGTGATTCGTGTTTCTATCTATTGGTTTTGTTTTGTGATTTATTTTTGGGAAATATTTATTTTTAATTTGACTCTATTGAACATTTTATTAGAATATAAAAATGAAACTTTTTGTACCGTGAACTCTTTTATTGGACGTTTAGGTGCCACTTTATTTTGGTTTATTTTATTTAGTATGGATGATATAGAAGAAATATGAGTTTTACAGGCACTAAACAATGTTATAAATTCTACTAAAGTTTCACGCAATTTTTCCGTTATTCGTGAACCACGCTGTTCCATTTTTAATATTCTAAATCTAAACCACTCCAATTCTCAAGTCCAAAATACAAATAATCACAGTTAAAACGTCTAAAAACCAAAAATTATTAGACATCCAATCCATTTAATTTTATAATTTTTGGCAATTTTGACATGTGTCAATGCAATTATCTCATATTCAGTGATACCATCTTTGGTATTCTCAATCCTCATTGGTTAAGACTATGCAATAATCAAAGACTCTTCGTTAACACGTTCGACTTGATTCGCGATTATCGCATGGTGTTCAGGAATACTAAATTGCTGTCGTGTGCGTTAACGACCATGCGTTACTTAGCGCATGCGGCAGTTAACGCATGTTTCGAGAATTGGGCCCCTGAACTGGCGGCATTCGTCAAATTTATTAACGTATGCGCTAAGAAATGATGATTTTCAAAGAGCGCTCATGACCGTTCGACAACTACTTTGTCGCATTCGTTTAGGTGAAAGTAAGGTTATAATTGTCAATTAATCCTGCTTTATCATATGTGATTCGTGTTTCTATCTATTGGTTTTGTTTTGTGATTTATTATTGGGAAATATTTATTTTTAATTTGACTCTATTGAACATTTTATTAGAATATAAAAATGAAACTTTTTGTACCGTGAACTCTTTTATTGGACGTTTAGGTGCCACTTTATTTTGGTGTATTTTATTTAGTATGGATGATATAGAAGAAATATGAGTTTTACAGGCACTAAACAATGTTATAAATTCTACTAAAGTTTCACGCTGTTTTTCCGTTATTCGTGAACCACGCTGTTCCATTTTTAATATTCTAAATCTAAACCACTCCAATTCTCAAGTCCAAAATGCAAATAATCACAGTTAAAACATCCAAAAACCAAAAATTATTAGACATCTGCAATCCATTTAATTTTATAATTTTTGCATTTTTGGCAATTTTGACATATGTCAATGCAATTATCTCATATTCAGTGATACCATCTTTGGTATTTTCAATCCTCATTGGTTAAGACTATGCAATAATCAAAGACTCTTCGTTAACACGTTCGACTTGATTCGCGATTATCGCATGGTGTTCAGGAATACTAAATTGCTGTCGTGTGCGTTAACGACCATGCGTTACTTAGCGCATGCGGCAGTTAACGCATGTTTCGAGAATTGGGCCCCTGGCCCAAATGAGTTTAAAAAAATGTCATTTTAAAGTAAGTGTTCTGTGAAGCCAATATCCTTTGTTTGTTGTTTGTACTGACATGAATATAAAAGTTTGTTTAATTTTTGTTTAGATTTCAAATTTAGGTTGATTTGTAGTCTCAAAAAGTCAACTTTAAAGAGTATCAAACTTGTCGTTGTCATTTTATTACATGACCAATAAGGTAGAGCGTTTGTTTATTACATCTACATTCAGATCTAATTCTCTATCACGTGATAAAAAATTCACAACATCTCGGATGCATCCGATGTGGCTTCTCAAACGCGGGAAATATAACCGCTCGCAAAGCGACTCGCTTTCTTTTATATATGCACAAGCTTACATAAGCGTTATAAGTCTTTAATAAATTTGTATTCAAATTGCATATTATTTATTTACATTTCTATTTACCCTTGAAAATGTTTCGCGGATCTAATTCCAATTTCAAGAAATATATTTTTCTATTAAAACTATAATTTCAAGCTTCGCCTATTTCTTAACGACTAACAGTGCGAATGTTCCTTAAATATCATACTCGTTAACAATATGCTATTTTTGCCATATTTTTGTTATATTTTACTATTTAATTTTTGTAATTTTCGTTAGGTTTCCGTTTCAAACACAGAATCTAAATTTTGGGTACATTTTGGAAAAGCCTTTATTATATTGGTAGTATTGCAAGATGGCGTCCGAGAAACCCGGGAGCTTTCAACAAGGTAAACATTTCTTGTTTAAAATTTCAAATAACTCTTTGTATAAGCAAAATTTTCACGTTTATTAATATAACAAATTCGTGAATATAGATTTGTTAAATAATTTTAGTTTAATATGCGTACATAATACCTCGCTAAGCGAGCTGGTTATAAATTACATCTTCATGTAGCTGTCAAATTTTTTTTTTGTAGCCGCTTTGGATTCCGATCAAGAGGAGTTGCAACAATTTGGTTCTACTTTATTGAGTATGGAAAATTTAGATAGAACGTCTCCCGAATTGTGGCCCGAAAAAAGTATTAAAACAATAATATTATTATGATTATTCACAATTAAATGTACTATAGTTCCAGGTATAACTCAATTTATGAACAACTTCCAATCTACGCCCAACAGCACAACCAAATTACCATATTCAAGAGAACTTAATCATGAAGATGAAAATTATTTACATCGTAAGTATAAATATCGTATTTTTTAATAATTTGGCTTTCATTGAACAAAATTTGGTTACAAATTATACAATTTTTTTTTTTTTGTAAACCTGAGTTTGTTTTTACAAATAATTTGTTAAATAATTTTATTATTATTTATTTTAAAGAAACATTAAAATATTTAAAATTTGAGATAGTTATAGAGGTTTTTTAAATCTTTGAATTAATTGTATCTCTATGAACCTTTTAGACTCGAGTAAGGCATTTGATTCTGTTAATCACTGAATTGTCTTAGATATACTACAATTTTATGTAATAAGAGGTGATATATTGAACTTTAAACGTTGCTTATCAAATATATATCAATAATTAATTTGAAATATCGACTACAAGACCTGTAGAGATAGGTGTACAACAAGTTTCAATCCTTGGACCAATATTCTTAAAAAATATAACACTTTAAATATTAAAATATCACAGATGCCGGCTCATTAACTTATAATCTCTTAATTTATATTTAAAGGTATTAAATGAGGCGATATTTCTGAGCTTGAAGTCCCTTAAAAAATGCTAAATTTTGACACTGTTTACTTGCAGCTTGCGGAATATGAAAATTAGATCTATTTCTTGTGTTATAATTATGATAATTAAAGTTTTAATTGATTTTATCAAGCAAATAAGAGGGAACCGGTCTATGTTTAATTTTATAAATGAATGTTTAAAATAGAGAAAATAGTTTTTTAACAGAAAGCCATTGTAAATTTTGTAACATCCATAATATATTGGTCCTTTTATCACATGACAATAATATCATCATTGCTTTATTTTGTAATTTCTAAAGTGTGTTGTTTTCATTTTGATTAAGAGCAAACATGACGGGTGCTCCTTCGCCAAAAATCAATTTTACATTTGAGGCAGTTAAAAAAAATTGTAAAAAAATGGTTCAGGCCAATCGTTGTAAAAATGAACCAAGAATTTTGCTAAACCGCGAAAAACTTATATTTTTAAAGAAAAACAACAAAAATTTCAACTTTTTCAAAAATTTAATTTTTTGGCTCTTTAGCGTCATTCTATAACAAATATCTTAACTATTTTCTAAATAACTTTTTTTCAAAAAGATTACCAATTTTAAACAGGACCGAAGATTAACATAGTTTTCATTCTGATACTAATTCTATTAAAACAATGATACCAGTGAATATGGCAACGCGGCTAGTCTATGAAGCCCGTGGTTAAAAGGGTAGTTGCTGTTTAGTTAAATTTGTTAATTCCTGTGTTGAAAAATAAGTAGTTGTTTTTGAAGAGGTGTGAAATTATTGTGATTGTCTTAGTTTGTTGTTGAGGCGTTGTTAGGTTTTTGTTTAATTTAGTTTTTAGTTAATTTAAAAAATGAAAAATTCTGGAAGGCAAAAATGCACAGCTGACAAATATCTATTTTATTTGTTTGCTGCCAGAGTTAGTAAATCCTAGAGAAATACAACATGTGTCAATTAGGGAAAAGAGATTGTCAAGAAACTTAAAAAAATGTGTAATTTACAGGGTGTTTCTAAATACAGAAAAAAAAATAGAAACTCAATTTTAGTCACCACCTCTTAAGGGTGATATCTCGGAAAGGGGTGGGCTGAGGAAATTTTGTTATAGGAAACACCCATCTTAATTTCATACGAGCAATCACCTCCTGAAATTTGTCCCATGAATTTTGAAACACCCTGTATGTTGGTGTATTAAGGTGAATGCAGCAGCCTTTGTAATTTTCGGACCAGGATATTTCAAAAAGTAATTTTGTTTAAAAATTAAAATTTTGGCAAAATAAATTAGGAAATATTAACTATATATATTTTAATGTTTTAATTCCTTTCTGTTTCCGGGGAAAAAAATCAAATATGATAATGAAAATAAATGCATTCTTCAACAGCACTATTCTTAATATAATCCCGAAATTTAAACTCTTAATGTCTTGGTAATGATTTTTTAAAATTCGCCAAAATTAGTGGCTAAAACGCTTTGTTATGTGCTGCCTTCGGGTGTAACGCGCTTGTAACTATCGTATCGTACACTCTGTCATTATCCGTTTCTTGCAATAATTTACACCAGAAGATGCTGCCAAGAGAAAATTTTGATTCAACAGTATTGTATATTTTGTGTTGTAAAAGGGAAAAAATTAACATTTCGTGTTTTAATAGTTATTTTTTTAATTTAATAATCTATGTGAAAAAATTTTTTTAATAGAGACTTTAAAAAATTGTTATATTAATTTACTTATTTAATTGTACTTATATTTGTTGTTCCTTTAATACAATAAATACAATTTACCTATCTTCAATTCATCACTTTCCGTTTCCATATACCCAGGGTCCGATTACAATTAGAAGAACACCGCTACGTCATAACTATTATTTCGAATTTCCGAAATTAGACGGTTATATTTTAACAGCGTAATCTACATCCTAGAAGTATTAGAAATTAAAAAAACCAAATTCAAAATCGTGCAGATGCCGTCACCACATCTTAACCAAATTTATATAGGATCACCCCTGAGGTACCCCCTTACTACCAAAAAAAGAATCCTATAAATCGGACAAGGTGGTAAAGCATTATCGCTAAACATACATAAAAAATGAAGAGTTTGAGGATTTTCTCAGGGGCCCAATTATTAGATTTTGACCAAATTTATATGGAAACCACCCCTGAAGTACCCCCTTTCTAACAAAAAAAGAATCATTGAAATCGGACACCGTGTTAAAGAATTATCGCTGAACATACATAAAAAAAAAATTAAAAAAAATATTGCGACGAATTGAGAATCTCCTTCCTCCTTTTTTGAAGTCTGTTAAAAATAGGAGTAAAAGTTTATATAAACATAGGTCCGAAAACGTTTCGTTTTCGAGATACAGGGTGTTACAAGTGAAGTCCAGATGAAACATTTTTGTAAATATTTTCTAAAATTTCTTTAGTTACCGGTTTTTCAAAGTTAAAAAACAAAAATAAAATTTCTAATTCTATAGACCTACTAATTATTGTTTACACTTTCGAAATAAGGTAACATGGTTTTCTCTTGAAAATGGCGCGTCCTAGCGAGATGCAACAAATGTTTAAACAGAAAATATTGGTTTTCCAAATTTTATAGTCAAAAAATCTGATGTGTCCAACACATGACTTTCCTATCTAGTTATTATAGGCTTTTTCTGGTTATTTTGTACAACTTATTGCAGTACCTCTATAAATGTTTAGAGGATAAACTAAATCTATACATTTTCCATATACATCTACCTCGAAACATTTTTCTATAAGTTATTCATTGAAAACGAAAATACTGAAAAATGACCCCGCACTAATCTTATGGGAATTGGGTCCCGGTCAAATTGGCTGAATTTTGGATATGTTGTTCGTTTCGGCATCTTGAGCAAAAGTTAACAGCTGTCATCAAGCTGTCAACTCTCAATATTATCATATTAACATTGGATTTGAACTCAGCCACCTCAAAAACATATATTCACATGTGGATTTTATCAATTTTTATTATTGGTTGTTGTTTGACAGCTAGATGACAGCGGTCAACGTCAATATTGTCATTGGATTTTAATTTCGCCTCCACGGAACTCCAAGAGTGTACCTTTTTCTCAACACAGCAAATACTAAACTTTCAGGAGATCACCATTTTCAGGGGAAATAATGGTCATTTTGGGCAGCTTTGAAGCTTCGTAGCGGCCAAAATAAGCAAAATTGAGCTTTATGCCCATGAAGACTTTTGCTCAGGATGCCGAAATGAACAACATATCCAAAATTCAGCCAATTTGACCGGGACCCAATTCCCATAAGATTAGTGCGGGGTCCTTTAAATTTAGCAATTTTCCTACAATTTTTCCATTACGGTCCATTTTAGAAAAATCATGTATAAACAAAGATTATAGAGATCGATATCGCAAACAACTTTTAATTCAACAATTTTCATAAAAATCAGAATTTTGCACATTTTGTCAAATTTCTCGAATACGGACCGTTTCAGGAAATTTTGACATAAAGCAAAAATTATAGATAATAATATTAGAAGTAACTTTTATTTGAACAATTTTCTTCTTCAAACATAAATAACAGATATATTCAATAAAATATAAAAACGGCCTCCCATAAAGTACCCCCCCCCAGATGTTCCGACTTTGTCCAATCATTTCACGTCAGGCCGAAATAAAACTTAAGTTTAAAATTTAATGTTTTTTTCTTTATCCGTTTTTGAGTTTTATTCAAAATTTACACATTTTCTCAAATATTTCGAATACGGTCCATTTTAGAGAAATTATGTATAGAATAAAAGTTTTACAACTTTTATTTGAAATTTTTTTATAAACAATAATTTTTTTTTATATTTTGTCAAATTTCTCGAATACGGACCATTTTAGAAAAATTTTGTATGGAACAAAAATTATAGATAATATTAGAAGTAAGTTTTATTTGAAGAATTTTCTCCTCCAAACGTAAATAACAGATATATTCCATAAAATATAAAAATGACCACCTATAAAGTACCCCCCCAGATGTTCCGACTCTGCTCAAAATCTAATCATTTCATTGAACGCTGAAATAAAGCTTAAGTTTAAAATTTAGTGTTTTTCTGTGTATCGGTTCATGAGTTATGGTGGATATAGACACACAGACACACACGGCAAAAATAGCCGACTATTATCAAGGTCTTAGTATATTACCCTTGATTATTTTTTTTTAGAGCTTGCTGCGTTGTCAACTTCATGTCTTATAGGAAAAGTTAAAGAATTACATGACATTGCCTATCAGTTGGGAGTCGAGGAGTCAAAAGAAGTGACTCGGGGGAAATATTTAAACTTTTTTTACTCTGAAAAAAATAATAAATGAAAATATTTGTATTGTTATGAACAGAGTTATTTACCTACTTTATATTTTTATGTAATAATTTGTTAGATCTCACTTTATAATGTAATGTAAATATATGTATATTTTATTAAATAAAAAAATTAGATTAATATGTAATAATTTTATTTGAATTTATTATAAGATGAAGAAGCTGTTCGTTATGATGTTATGTTATGTTGATAATGGGGTGTTAATACACTGCGACCTAAAAGATCTATTGTGCCCCCTTCTGTCGCCACTGCACTAAGGAAATGTCTCAATGCCTATAGCGACCCTTCCAATCCTATTTTCTCAAGGAAGTGTAGGATTTGAAGTGGCTTCAAGTTAGGTAAGTCTCCCTCTTCTATTTGATATCCTCCTAGATATAGTGCCCTTGGATTCTGGAGTGCTACACATTCAGTTAGGATGTGAATGGAGGTTTCGTCCTCCTCCTCACAGAATCTGCACTCACTATCCTCTACTACTCTCAGTTTACTTAGGTGTCCTTTTAGTCGGCAGTGCCCGGTAAGGATCCCTGTTACAATACGTAGCCTGTTCTTGCTCAGGCAGATGCAGGCTTCCGATCTTTTTTGGTTATATTCACCCAGAAGTATCTTGGCCTGTCTCAGCCCCAAGAGATTGTTCCAATTATCGGTTCTTCTACTACCCAATTCTTTTTTAATCTCTTCTAATATTATGTTACTGCTGATACCGCAGAACGGCTCAGGTCCTACAAAGGGTGTTTGAGCCCCTTTCCTTGCAAGACTATCTGCAATCTCGTTACCCTGTACCCCGTTATGTCCCGGGACCCAAGTGAGAGTAACTCTATTTTTCTCGCCTAGCTCATTCAATTGTTCTAGGCATCTCCATACCATTTTTGAGCTGATTACGTAAGAACTCAGCGCTTTGATGGCTGCTTGACTATCGGACATGATGATAATCTCTTGTCTATGATAGTTTCTCTCGATGTTAAACTGGATACACTTCTCGATGGCGTGAATTTCCGCCTGGAAGATGCTTGGGTATTTTCCCAAGCTTTCGGAGTGCTTGGTTCTCGGCCCATACACTCCTATTCCAGTTCCTTCTATGGTTTTGGAACCGTCCGTGTACCACTGAATAGCACGTCTTTCGGTTGCAAGCGCGATGGATTCTTGGCTCCATTCTTTCTTGCAGTCCAGCTCTGTGGTTTTGAAGTTTTTCACAAAACTGTACTTCTTTTGCATTTCATCCTGGGGCATGTCCCAGGTATCTTTAGTCCTGAAGCAAGTAGACTTTCGTCTGATTACTCCGCTCCTGATCATTCTATATCGTGTCCTTTTTGCCACATTCTCTATCATCAAATGTAGAGGGGTGAGGTTTAAGATCACCTCCATTGCGGCCGTAGGACAGGTTCTCATTGCACCAGTAATGCAAACACAGGCTAGTCTTTGTACTTTTGAGATATTAGCTCTCGTAGTAACTAAACTAGTTCTGTTACTCCAGGCTATAGCCCCGTAAGTGATGATTGGTCTCACTATTGCAGTATACATCCATCGCAGTATGTTTGGGTTACATCCCCATCGTTTACCCGCCATGTTTCTGCATACCATTAGGGCTTTTGTGGCCTTATTTACTACTTCCTTCTCATGTGTGTTCCAGAGAAGTTTGTTGTCCAGGGTTAGGCCTAGATATTTGACTTCATTTTTCCATTCTATATCTATCCCGTCCCGTTAAGGTTTTGAGATTAAGTTTTCTTTTCCTTGAAAAGGCTACTAGTATTGTTTTTGTAGGGTTTATATTAAGTCCCACTTCACGGCACCATCTTTTGGTATGTTCTAGTCCTCTTTGGACTATATCACACAGGATATTACTAAACTTGTCACTAGCAAATATGACTATGTCGTCGGCATAACCTTGACAGGGTATGCCGAGGTCAGTCAATCTGCATAGAAGTTCGTCTACGATTAGGCTCCACATTAGTGGGGATAGAACTCCTCCTTGTGAACATCCTCTGGTTGTGCAGATGGAGATGGTGTCTTGCCCTATCTGTGTCTCTGCAGTTCTCGAAGATAACAGCTGAGCCATCCATCTGGATGTGATGTTATCTACTCCTCTGTATGCAAGTGCTCTTTTTACAGATTCGTGTGGCGTGTTGTCAAAAGCTCCTTCTATGTCTAGAAAGGCACACACGACTGTTTCTTTGTTTGTCAGTGCATCCTGGATTACATCAGTCAACTGTACCAGGGCAGTTTCTGTAGATCTTCCTGCTCGGTACGCGTGTTGGCTGTGGTGGAGTGGCACCCTCTCCAGGACTTCTGTTCTGATATAGTTATCAACAGCCTTCTCCATTGTTTTTAATACAAAGGATGTGAGGCTGATTGGACGGAAAGATTTAGGATGTGTGGTATCCTTTTTCCCTACTTTTGGAATAAAGGTGACTCTGGCCCTTCTCCAGCTTCTGGTATATATCCCAGCTCCAGACTGCTCCGGGATAGCCGGATTATGTGTGGTAGTAATTCCTCCTGTGCCTGCTGAAGCAGGGCAGGAAATATTGTTACGAATAAATAGAACACCCTGTGAATAGGTATGTTATGATTTGTAAATTTTGTCCAAGGGCATGCACATTAAATACATTTGCAATAAAATAACAAAACGTGTAGTTGGACAAGGTTTTATTAAATCATAATATTAAAGTACAGGGTCAAGAAAGATCAACACGAGCATTCTTGGAAAATTATAAGTGAATTTTCTAGGAGTTCCTTTGGGTTTTTGTTGGCGATCGGTCGTGTCCAGTTTTTGGCACTAAGTAAATTTCGGGTCGGTCACGCGAAATCGCGGTTAGTTTTATTTTGTGTAAAACCACGTAGTGGAAAAAGTAACGTGTGCCTTTAGCCAGTCCTGCTGCCCAACGGATAACAATGTTAATGTAAGTAGATACTTTTAAGGAGTAATATTTAATTGTGTAGTTAGCAAAGATTATTGAAGTGCTATATTTATATATTTGTTAAATAAACCATAGTTATTTGTTTTACGCTTGTTGTTTCAATCTTTCAAGTTAGGGTTCCTTAGGTCTTCCCGTCTGAACTTAACCCCCTAGCCGTGTGTTATCTAGAGGCCAATTTAAATACGAATTGGGCCCCTATATATAACCCGTGGTTACCGCTAAGAGTGGACTTTAGGGCCAGTCAAAAGGACCCATAATCTTACTCTTAACAATATTCCATCCACACCTGGATACTTAAACGGTTTAAAAGTGTTTACGGCCCACCTTAACCGATTTCTGCTGCATATATGCTTGGCCACTACAGCGGCCTCTCTTGGGGGTCTGCTTACCTTAGTTGTGTCCCTTATTAGAAAAGGTGTGCTTCCAGGAAAGTGAGTTTCGAGTAAGAGGCGAGCTCTTTCCTCCTCACTCTCCGTGAAGCTTCCATTTGGTTTCTTTAATGCCATAACTGTATCAACTCTCCCTTTTGCCAGGACCCTGTGCAGTCTCGCTGCCTCAGGTGTAGAGTTAATATCCTCGCAGAATTTTCTAAAGCTGTTACGTTTAGCTTTCCTGATTTCTTTGTTGTAGGTAGTAAGCGCCTCGGTGTAGCTCATCCAATCTCCGCTTTGCTTGGCCCTATTATAGAGCTTCCGCACTTCGGATCGTAAGTTTGACAGATGACGGTTCCACCAAGGAGCATCCCTACTAGTCCTATTTCTTTGAATGGGGCAGCTTGATGTATATTTTATTAAATAAAAAAATTAGATTAATATGTAATAATTTTATTTGAATTTATTATAAGATGAAGAAGCTGTTCGTTATGATAGTTTGTTATCGTCTACCCTTTCATTTAGAAGAGAATTGTTTTTCTAGTTTTGATGATTATGAGCAATTAAATACTGTTGTACTTATTTTCTACTGACAATACAAAGATCCCTTTGAAAAATTGGATAGGTGGATTAGAATTGAAATTTTTAATTTTTTTTGTAGATTTCCTTTTAGCTCGATGTATTGAAATATCTTACTATAGGAGTTATAAGGTTGGTTAAATGAGATAAGTTTTAATTTTTTGGCTAGTTTATAGAGTTGCTTGTGAAAAATAAAAGCAATTCTTTATAGGCACCTTTTTTCCTGTACAATATAGGCGCATCATGAACCTTTTTTTTTTTAATTCGTTCCCGATGTTTTTAATATTTATTACAATCTAGGTTCACTAAAGAAAATATTCAAATACATTATTATTTAGTAGGCGTTGTTTAACTATGTTGGATGTACATCAAACATATTTCACTCATACATCAGGCCAACCCTGCCTTGAAATTAATTAATTGGGCATAAACTCTATATATTATATACAAATTTCTTATAAAATAATTTGAAATTGTACATAACTAAATATTAAAACAAAAAAAAAATAGAACGGATGTCCTGCCTACAGCACGCTAGAGGTACATCAGCTCCTACAAGAACCTTTGACAATAGGGTAATAATGTAACAATGATCTGATAAATTGGACAGCTCGTTCGCCGGACCTACCGCTTTTTGTTTATTTGTGGGGGGCACATAAAGAATGAAATGTACAGCTTTTATTCTGTAGATATTAATAAATTGGAAGAACGTAAGAAACTTTATGGCAGTCATAAATCAAAATACTTTATGGAGAACCACCCAAGCAGTTCTAAAAGGATGTCATAGTTGTTTAGTAAAAAAATTGTCTTTAGAGGATGAACTAAATACATACATTTTCCATCCACATCTTACTCTAAACATTTTTTTTTTATATACATATTACCAAATCAAATATTGAAAAATTAAAATTTTGCACTTTTCCTCAAATTTAACCATTACTGTCCATTTTAGAGAAATTATGTATAGAATAAAAATTACATAAAACAAACAACTTTTATTTGAAAAATTTTCTTCTCCAATCTTAAGTAACAGATATATTCTATAAAATGGAACAACCCTCTATAAAGTAAATAATCACTATAAAATGAAAAGGAAGAAAATTGCATTTTTGACATTTCCAAAACTATCC